TCTGGTTCTTAAAGTATGTCTACAGAATGAAACAAAAATGTGATTGTAGCATGAGTTAGACCCATGCCCACAACAAGCCTGGTATGTTTTCTAGATTCTCGCCTGTACTGTGCTATCTTCATCACTACTGTTACCCATGCTAGCTGGTTGGGCCGTGTGAAGCTTCAGTCGCTGATTCGATTCAAAGGAGATTCGGCTCGATTCAGCAGCCAAATCTCCAAATCTGAATCAAATCAGGAGACCCATTAATCTCTCCGAATTGAATTGGAAGCCTCCGATTCAATTCAGAGAGATTCGATGATTCGGCCATAGACACAGCTTTATATGTTTTTTCTACATACCTCAAGGTACCAGGCAGCTCATGAACACTGAGATGGTAGGGTGGATGGAGCGTCCCACAGGAGTGTGGAGGGGCCCCCCCATGTGCTCTGTGGTGGACCTGGAAGTGGACCAGAAGTACTTCTGGTCCACTTCTGGGTCTGCTACAGAGTGTGCGGGGGACCTCCCCCAGCCCCAGCTCGGCAACAAGTGCCCCCTGGGTCTGGGGGGGCACCTGCCAAGCTGGGGAGACACAGGGGGAGTCCCCTGCACGCTCAGTGGTGGACCCAGAATTCACGAGCTGCACCTGGTACCTCGAGGTATGTAGAAAAAACATTTAAAGCTGTGTCTATAGCCAAATCGCTGATTTTCTGAATCAGAAGTGAATCTTCAGATTCGGCTGAATCAAATCGGGACAGTGATCTGAATCAGCTAATTGAATCACTGTGCCCTGAATCGGGCCGAATCCGAATCTGAATTGAATACAGCCCATTTTGCACACCCCTACTAGCTGTACTGAAGCTAGCACAGTCATTCCTACTGAGGTGGCAACTGAATCTTCATCTTGCTCAACAGCAATGGCAACGTCATTAATGGAAGACCTATAGGTATGAAGGAAGTAAACCTAAAAGGATTTGATACAAAGAAATATTCCAGAAATCAGGAGTTTGAGGCAAATAAGCTAAGAAAAGATATGGAAAGAAGGAAGCATGAAAAGACAATATAAACATGTAACATTTTACAATCAGGCCATATGGCAGACAGAGGCACAGGACAAAAGCTTTCCTTTCATTAATCTACTTATGAAAAGGAAAATACTGTACTGCATTCTTTCCAATTTGTTTGCTTTTTTTTAACAAATATACAAGACTTTTGAAACCCAATATTAACTTGCTTTTTGACTCATGCAAGTAAAGCCAAACAACACAAAAAATCACGTCTAGAGATGTTATTGGTATTATTTTTATCCAGATGATTTCTGAAATGAAAAATAAAATAAAGAAATAAAGAATATCAAAGTCACTTTTAGAATAGTGCAGGTAAATGTAAGGAACAGATGCAAGACCAAATTGCTGCCTTCATTTCCAAGTGCTTCAACCATGCGGACTTGCTCATTGGATAGCATGTAACTGCCCCACGTTTGTAAAATGTGTGTGTAAACAAGTTAATTTCTAACAAGTTAATACTACCGATTCAATATATTTTGCATTCTGCTTAATAGATTTTTAAAGGCACCTTATTAATGAAGCTGCTAAAGTACATTCAGCACTGTACAGTATATGAAGATGTCCTGACTCTTAAAGTTTCCAATATGAATACATTCAGAGATCAAATAAAATGTATGTAGTATAAACAACTTTGCACACCACGGATTTCCCTTCTATTATCTCACCAGAAGGTGGCATACAATACACAGTTTATACATATTTTTACTTTTTTTTTTCAAATTCTTTTCTATTTTTCTTCAGCTTAGAACTTTCAACCTTTTACAATAAAGAGTCTGACAGTTTTAGTTGATTTTAAGTAATAATCACAAAAGATCCTTTCTGCAAATACAATAACTGTTATCCAAAAGCAACCTGGAGCAACTAGTATTGATATTTATACAATGCATTGATATATATACCATGCATTTATACCATACTATTGAAAAGCAGTTGGCTGTAACAGTGGAACATCAATCTGTCCAGAATGTTATGAACATCTCTTAACATATGTATTGTGAAAGTGAGTTTATTACAATTAGTGAAAAAATATTTTTATTATAAATGAAAAAGAAAATAAAAGTATACATTATTAGCTTCACCAAATTAGCAGAAATAACTTTCTTAACCCTTGCCCTAATAGTCTGTTACTTATTAGGATGTGTGTGTGCTTTATATCACATCCCCTTTTTTTGTAATTTGAAACCGAGTAGGGTGTGAGAGTCTTTTGATGGAAGCAAAAATAAAACAGCAGCACAAGAAAAAATGTGTTCAACTTGCTTAGATTACATAGAATATTAAATATTTTTGTTTGATGGTATAACATTTCTCTATGTATCTAAGCCTAATAAGCCTGGCTTCCCTAAATCCTTTGTTAGAAAGAATTAATCTGATGGCTTTGTTGACCATGAATAATTCACCAAAAGAGCATATCCTGCAGTCATTAGCTAGCCACTAGGTGATGCTGCTAAATATATCCTTCCCCCTATCACCACCTCTTGAGCTCCTAGCATCTTCTTTCCTAATTTACATGGCAGGCTGCTCCTGATGTCCCCTTCTTCAGCATGAGGGCACATTGGTCTGTTATACCAGCCATCAAGGAGGTTTTTTCCTTTTCTAATATTTTCTTTACATTTCAGAAAATTACCTGCAGAGGGAGTCACGGCCTCTTGGCTACTAAAGGAGGAGTCTACCTTCAAATCAATCTGCTAACTAGGCACTGGAGATGTGGAGAAAAATTAATAAAACAATCAATCCTACAGACTAGTTGTAATTGTTGATATCATATACATTGCTTCCAGAAAATATATCTGAATAAATATTCAGCCAAATACATTTTTAAAATGTCTCAACAGCACTTTGCAAAGCCTGGAAAATATTGACAACACTGGTTTACAGGTGGATCAATTCACCAAGTTAGTGGCAGAGTCGAGATGAGATTAGAGCTCAAACATCATGGGTGGAAGTCCACTGCTCCAACCAGGAGAATCTGAAAATTCTACGTGATAATAAAAAACATTCCTCCTATCACTCTATCCATTACTCCATCTATATGTTAGAGCACAGGAGCTTCAGTTTAACCATTTACAAAAGTGGTGTTCATATATATGTTCAACTTCAGTTTTAGTCAAAAGCTGTTTATTCTTCACCTAGCCCCAGATTTACAAAGACATTTATTTGCATGCTTCATTTTAAGTGTGTGCTGAATTTCATGGGGACGAGTCACATGATCAGATTTAGGCACTTGTTTAGATGACTGCACAATCAGCATCTTTATAAAGCACAAAAATTACCAATTTTTACAGCTTACTTTTTAAGAAAGTAAGCTGTAGGGTATCCTGCATACTCATCAGTATTTTTAGGTAATTGGTAAACAGTATATTACTAATATTCAGAAGTTTTCGCTTTTGCCAAAAAGCAAATCTGGCAAGTTTGCTCCCCTCTCTTTGGATTAATAAGCTTTGTAGAAAATAAGGCTATTAAATTATCTACTACAAGGGCAATTCAATGGTGTACTATTTTTGATTAAATAAAGGAAATCAGAAAAATTGTCCTTACCTTATTTTGTAAGTTAATTTTTCTGCTTTTAGCCTGACTGAAATTTTAAAATGCGCAAGCTGTAGTTGTAGTTCTAGTTCACAAATAATAATATCCACTTCCTCAGTAATTATAGGAAATAAAGCAATCAGATAAATCATTTTAAGTCAACACTAATGTCTTAACATAACTAATGTCTGGCGCACTAACACATAAAACTGTGAAGTATTTGCAAGATAAAAAGTCCCATGTGCAAATATTAATTGATATTCAAATAGCTAAATGCACACTCTTCCTAGCAAAACTAACATTAACAGTGTGATTTTAACTTTCTGCTGATTTTGAGATGCTGGTCAGTTGTATATAGAATATATAGCCAAAGTATATTGTATATTGCCAAAGTATAGCAGGAAAACATTACTTCACTGAAGAATTAGCGTTGGTACAAACAGTGAATAGCTGAGCCTCATGTCCCAATATCCATCAGTCTGGCATCACTTTGCATATAGAACTATTTACATTAATACATTTCTATCATTATCTGGGTCTAACATCAACATCTTTCTTTTTGTAGTAACTGAAAGGAAAATAAAATTTCCCCAAAGCAATAAAAATGGAAATGGCACACTGAGTTGTCTAAACATTTATTTTCAATCAGTTGTAACTATCACTGTTTCCAAGCACTAGTGAGAAGTTACTGGGACCATTCTAGCTGAACACTCACCTCCATGCTCTTGATTAAATGACACACAAAATGTTGACCCGTGTTTTATTATAATAACTGGCAAAATACTATTGTTTTCATTAATTAAATTGTAAGGAGATTAGTTTAAACTACCATAATGAAGAGATTAAACGGTAAAATATCCACTTCCCCTGTACAACCTAAGATCTAGAAAATAGGATTGCTTAAAAATGTAGCTTCTGTTCAGCATAAGTGCTGTGCCAAAGATGTTGAGCTACAGAAGCATTGCAAGTTTCTGTGGCTTGGCATCTAAGCAACCTAATCTTCTGTGTCTTGAAGCCACAGGAGACTGATTGTAATTGGTATCCTGATTTTGCCAACCACTTTAAAATTTGTAGAAGTGAGACATGAGACTTCATTTTCCAGATGCACAAGCCTCTCAGATTAGAGGAAGGTGCTATCAAAGTGAAGCAGATTTTCTGATAGGCACATCAGCTTGCTGTGAAACCAACTTATCTGCTCACCATAATCCCTTTTGTGGGCATAAAAGACTGGTGGACTATAGTTCACCTAACAGAAGAACGTATTTTTAAAGCAAGAGTCCATGCGGTACGTGAGAGAAACAGAGAAAAGATGTGGGGTGGATATGGAAGACATGACTAATAAAAATAACTAATGATTAATGCTCTACCGATTATACTTGTACCATACTCCAACACAAACAATAAACTAACTTCAGCCAAGTTGTTGCTTACCTTTCACTGGACATTCAATTGTAATGTTTGCTCCAGTTCTTGTCACTATTGTACCTCCAACAGTTACAGAGAAATTACTGTCGTCCAGATTTGTGACATTCATTCCATGGGACAAAATGATGGGAACCTCTGCAGAACAGGAGTTAATGAATGATGAGTTTAAATATCTTTTTCAGTTTTATTTTCTTTGTAAACCCCATATTTAAATCATTGCTGTTCAGAGCAGAAATAAGTTTGAAAAGATGAATATAGATTTTCAAGTGGACCAGCTATCACAAAAACAAACAAAATGTTAGGGATTATTAGGAAGGGAACTGTGAACAAAACTGAAAGTATTGTTATACCCCTTTATAAGTCCATGATGCATCCACACTTTGAATACTGTGCCCAGTTCTGGTCCCCACCCCTCAAAAATGGTACAAAAGAACTAGGGAAGGTACAGAGAAAGGCAACAAGGATGATTAGTAGTATAGAGGGCCTTCCAAAGGAGGTGAAACTAAAGTAGCTAGTCCTATTCAGTTTAGAAAAGAGACACTTGAGGGAGGAGGCGTGATAAAGGTTTACAATCTCATAGAATCATAGAAAATTAGGGTGTGCTAAATGGCAAAGAGAAAGTAAAGAGGGATTTATTATTTACTATCTCAATACAAAAACTAAGGGTTACAAAATTAAATTAGTGGGTAGTAAGGTTAAAACTAACAAAAGGAAGTTCTTTTTTGCAGAGCATATCATTAAAGTGTGGAACTCATTGCCACTAGATGTTGTGGAAGGTGACAGTTTAGGTAGATTCAAAAAGGGATTGGACAAATTTTTTTGAGGAAAGGGGCATCAGTTGCTATGGAGCAGGGGAATTAGAGATACAGCTTCTGAATTAAAACTTTGTTGACCTTAAATGCTAAAGGCTGCAAGTGAGAGTTGAACAGTGGAAAAAAAACCCTGGTCATACCCAGGTCACTCTCTGCCACTGTGTGACCCTGGATACTGAGAAAGTTGGACCTATAGTCTGACCCAGTAAATAGCAATTCTTATGTTCTTATGTATTTAAACTCAGCTCGTGCCTGCTGTAGTCCTAACTGAAGTCGCATTTAAGAGCAAGAAGAAAACCTAGCTACAGATGGCCACAAATGCATGAACTGCAGACATAATCCAACTCTTTTTCATGGGAGTGGGAAACGGGTATTAGCAGCACAGAATGTCATGATAAGCATTACCTGCATACAGGAGTAAAGAAGTTTCCATATCAAAACCGAAGTCATTAACAACCATGCATCCATACACACCAGCCTGCTTTTGGCTAGGATTTAGAATGTGTACTTTTCCAACACCATCCAAAACCACTCTGCAAAATGTTTCAGAAAAAAAAGGGTTAGCTCAGATAGGAGAAAACCCATTTGCCCATATCCTTCTAACAGATCTCAGCTCTCTCTTAAAGAACATGGGAAGAAGAATTCTTCTATCAAGGATGCAGCAGAACTACTGTGCAAAAGTCACTCTAGCTCAACAAATGGAATAGTCTCCATGCCTTTTCTTTGGTGATGAGGGCCAGCATTTAAGGTGTGTATAGGAATGGCTCAGCAGCTCATCTCAACTCCGAAAAGGATTGTGGAGTTTCAGTCTGTTTCCTGTAAGTAATCCACAGAACCTGCATGTCTTTATCAAACCCTTTCCTCTCACTGTGTGGCACAACAATACAGGTTCTACCATCTAAGGACTCTCCAAACTCAATAAAAGAAGGTGCAGAATTTGATCTATAACAAGCATGTCCACAGGAAATTAGCTTTAAAAATGTGTGCGTGTGTGTACACCACACACATGACTGGTAGGGAGGGCACGGGGACATGTGCCCCCTCTGAGAGGGCTGTCCCCACCAGCGGCTTCTGCGGGTGCTCACCAGCCCTGTCCCCGCCACTGACACTGCTGACGTTTTCTGCAGGTGCTTGCCAGCCCTGACCCCACCGCCGACACTGCTTCTGGCTTCTGTGGGTGCCCCCACAGACTCAAGAGGCACCAGTCGCCTGTACACACACACACATTTTTGGGGGGAAGAGTTACTCTAGGTGCTATCTGTGTTGTTTTTCAGCATAGTTGGTTTGTCACATGAGACCAGCACATTTGGGAACAACATTGCAAAATAGCTGGATTACTAATGAAAAGTCTTGGGTCTGTTAAATAATCTCTTCCTTACTGGCAAGATTGTTGGTTTTCAGCAGAGGGAAGAAACGAAGATGAGAAATTTGAAAATTTTGGGTACGTGCAGAGGTTTGCCGCATCCAATCTACAATAACAAAGCTTGCTTTAAGCCGCAAGATCATAGATCGGGAGTGATGTGTGCAGACATTTGCTGGTTCTGGAAGCCATGCTAGGAACTTGGTGTAAATAACTTGGGGTAGGTGGAGTTGTCGGGGAGATCATGGGGGCTAGCAGGTCCACAGCGAAGTCTGGTGGGATCAGGGAGGGCTGGCAGGTCATGTGGGGGCTGCTGGTTTAGGGGGGGAGGTGTCAGATGGCTATAAATAGTCAGGCAGAGTTGAGGGGTAGGATTCCCTACTCCAGGGCTGCACTCTGAACATGTGCAAACATTCAATATATAGGACTAACTTATTCATGATCTCAGGTGAACTGACTTAGATCATGCCCACCATTTTTTTTTTGTCTTTATGTTACTTTAGCTACCATACATATACATGCGTACGTAAATTGTGGATCTGACATCATCCTTAATGTATTAATCTTGTAAAACTAAGAACTACATTGCACAAAAAATCAAAATGAGTGTGTTTATAGCACCAAAGAAGCCCTCTTTTGTGCCTGGAAGAAAACATGGTCTTCATTCACCCACTGAACTAATTAACCAAGCAGCATCCATATCTAAAACACTCATTTTTATATATATAGTGGTATTTAATCTCATGTCTCTTACAAAAATCAGAGAAGTTGCTAGCTGCCAGTGAAGATCTGAAATACTTAACGATAGGAGTCTGGGTTAGAGTGAGGGTAATTTTAACTGTAAACATTAGAACTATAAAAGAGACTCTTGTATCGATAAAAAAACTCATCATGTGCAAAAAATGAAAACATCAGTTGCAACAAATTAACAGGAAATTACATATTCCTCACTAAGTAGGAGCAACCTGGTTCCAGAAATATTTTCACTTTCAAAATGTCTTATTTTTTGATGTTTTTACTTTAACTGATAGCCCTGCAGAACTACATTTTTCTTGGCAAAATGGTTAATCAGTTAAGGATGTTGAGAAATATCCAAAAATACCTTTATCAGTTCAGAATCATTTTTTCATTACTCAAGAGCTAGTAACAATTCCAAGAGGCAAACACATGAAACTAATGTTAATATTATCAGTCTCTCACTTCTCAAATTTTCTCATTTACCAGCAGTAAAGTAAAAGTATTTGGTCACAGTTGAGCAAACATCTGAACATATACTTGGCTCCCTCTTTGCTACAGGTATATTTCCAAATTGTAGTTATAACACAGGGTCCCTTTATCTTTAATGGAACAATCTGTAGATTGTCTTTAAAACTGTCTTAAAGGCTATGCTTAGTTTCTAACATGGTATCATGTTGTACAAATTATGCCAATGGGTACATCTAAAACTTCCTTCTATTTTTAGATCTACTAATATCTTCAGACATATTTACTATAGATAAAATAGGGAATATTTAAAATGAGGACTAGCAGTATCTCAAGCACTGGCAGGAACTTCTAATAGTGTACTATGTGATGTGATATATCAAAATGATCTCACAGGCTTTTTCTTTCTATATTTTAATATAAATCTATTTATTCTCCAATGTAGCTAAATTAATTTAGATTGAATAGAGAAATCACAATAAATATATAAAACATATTTTCATTTCTAATAGAAAAATCAATCCTGCCATATAACGTTGTAGAATTGGACATGCATAATTTCATTCATAAAATTATTTGTAAGATGCTGGAAAACGTTTGAAAAAATATAAAATTTTAGAAATAAAATGCACAAGGCTCACAGTCATCTTATTTTTACTGTAACATACTTCAATATGATATAAGAGAGGGAATTTGTTGGGGACAAGAGAATTATTTAGAAATAAAAGAATCCATGTTCACTTACTTCTCAGACGATTTTAATACTTCACCATCTTTTGTCCAAGTATATTTAGGCTCACGAATGCCAGTGGCTTCACACAGTAAAATGACAGCATGTGTATTCTTGGTCAGAAAAACTGTATTTCCAATACGTACAGTTACTGTTCGATTCAATAAGATTCTGGGAATTTGCTTTTGTCTTATAATAATTGGAACCTTTTTATCATATGTCAACTTATTCATGGTTTTTGTGTTGAAACGTTCAGATACATTTGGTGATTTGGCAGTAAGTTTTGAGGCCAACAATTCTTCCTGTGAATCTTTCCACTTTTCAGTAGTAGGCTGTGGTAGTCTAGATAATTCAGCAACTAATCGATATATGACCTGGGATGCCAAATCATCATCGACTTCTCCAGCTTCAATGAGCTGACTCATATTCCTTATCAGTTCTTCAAACTGTACAGTATCCATGCTGTAAGCACCTTGAAGAATTGCTGCCTCCAGACGTCTATTTCTGAACCCATGTGAGCTGTATTTTTCAGCTGAATTCCTCCCAGGGTTTTCAAGATTTCTCAGGAATGGCTGGTCATTAACTTGTCCATCATCCAAATATAGCTCATGCTTTCTACTCCACATTTGCCACATTTTACTCATTTTATGCCATTTGGCTCCAAAGCTGTTGGACTCATTGTGATCTGTGTTACTGTTCTCACTGGCATGTTTTCTAAGATTTGGAGATTCTATTAATCTGTTGTCAGTGCCAATAAGTTTGAGAACAAACGTTTCATACATGGAGCCTGCAATGCACCTATACACTCCAATATCTGTAGCCTCAAGGTTATGTATTTTCAGTGAACCTGATTTAGTGATGCCAAGTCTTTTAGAGTACTGTAAACGCTGTCCATCCTTCTCCCACTGGATAAGGGACTTCTGAAACCTTCGTACTGGGCACTTAATTACAACAGATGTTTTTGGAAGAAGATAGGCTCGACTTCCGATGGTAAAATTAATGCGCTTTTCTCGTCTCGTTTGTATGTAGACTCGATGGATGCTGACAATTTGAGGTCTATCAGCAGAATACTTTTCTGGAAGTTTGGGCTTCATTTCTTGTTTAATCTCTGAAACAGCAATGAAGTGTTGAAAAGGACTGAGTTACTGCCCTAGAAAACTCTGCTTTACAATGAATGCTGAATCCCACCATTCTTTCTGACTTGATTCAGGTCAATTCAAAATTGCTGAGCTTTTATCTATGTCACACAAGCACTCAAACAGGAAAAACAAGAAAATCATATCATTTTCTGGCTCCACTTTAGGTGTGCTCCTGCTTCTCCCCAAACTTCCAGAAGCCAGTTCTTGTGAAAAAATGGGAACAAATGAACAATACATACCTGTATGCAGGATAGTGCTTGGACAGGGGAAAAGAGAGAAAGAAGCTAACTGTTATAGTTGCAAGGCAAGACAAGGGAAAGGAACTGGGAAAGGAATGGAAAAAATGACTCACAGGTTGAAGCACACCATTGGGCACTGCTCCAAGTGGAGGTGGCTTAGATAACAAACCCTATTAGTAAAGCAGGCCTCTCTTTTTTGAAGTTGGCTGGCCCACATATGGTACCCAACATGGCAGCATCATGAGAGACATAAGTGGGAGCCAAAGAAGATGCAAGGAAAAACAAGGCCATGTTACTGTCACTGGACAGGTGATTGCAACTTTGGCCTGAGGAAAATTTGATCAAAAACTACTACCATTGTAAAGGAAAGAGT